ACAGACAACTGAGTGGTTTTATAATTAATATTTATAGAGTTTGAATCTAGTCTTTTTATTTGAAATTTTAGAAAATACTATTATAAGCATTATTACAAATGGGGTTGATTTGTCTTTTCCTTTAAAGCTTTCTTAGAGCTTAAGGAGTTCCATGTTGAGTCTACAAACATAATTATTCTTGCAGGTAGAGGTGAGAAAGAGTATGGGGAATAACTGAAAAATGTATGACTGAAAGCCCTTACCCATGAACCCAAGGACAAGCATGGTCTGAGGGCAGGTTCTCCACTCTTTCAATTATTTTTTTACAAAAAGATGAAAAAGAGAGTGAGCTTAAATGAAAGGTAGAGAAGGAATGGTACAAATTGAAGGGAGGGGTAGCAAGATGTGCTGCACTCTCTGTCCCAAATCCAACTTATGCTTCTTAGAAGGGCTGATCAAGTAATGACATGGGGCTTGTTAGATTAGGTACCTAGGCCAACAGGAAATGAGAAGTGCGGCGAGAGGATCAGCAGAGAGAGAGGAAAAAACAGAGAGGGAGAGAGAGAGAGACTGCTGAAAGGGATAAGCAGTGATGGGCAGAGTAAAGTTCAAGTGTCACAGAGTTGGCATATATCAGTGTGCATAAAAAGATGCGCGCAGGGTTGGAGCTCGAGTGTTGAAAGCATGTGAGGGGATGCACAATCAGAGGGAGTAGTTTTCATGTTATGAGTTTAGGACTTAAAGAGATGAAGGCCAGAGATCACAACAGTTAAGTCAATACTCAATCAATCAGCCAAAGTCCTACTGCTCAGAAACAGATGGTGTCTTTTTTTTTCTTTCTTTAGTTTTTTTTTCTGGCGACAGACGTGAAAAATAATGCAGAAATTCCCGTTTTCTCTCTTGCGCTTGTGCAGCACGTTGGAAGGAGAATGCTACGTGTCTCATTCAGTAAAGGGGATTTCACACATGCCACGATCGAGGATCTTCCTCTGAAGTCCATTTGAAACATTTACAGCTGCCGTCAAAATTATTCAACCCCTTTATCCTGCTGGTGTAAACAATAAAACTCAAGGGAAACATTTATTTATTCACTATAATGTAGTGAACAAAGACAAAACAGCTTCAAATAATTAAACTTCGACAGGCTCAATCTGTTCAGTTGGGAATCATGAATCACTGTGAATCCATTTCACCTGCTGTGGTTCAGATGAAAGTGACAACAGGTGTGCTGGAGAGGATCACAAAAGTGGAATGGTTTCACATGTGGTAGCCACAGACCATTACTCTCTCTTTATACACTCTGAATGATTTTTCTGCAATTTTGCTTTTTCTTAGTAATCTTGCTGCTACTTTTGCATGAGACAGTACCTGCAGTCCATTCAGATTGCACAGGTAGTCCAGCTTGTCCAGGAAAGCACATCCCCATTCATGTGTACCATTGCAAGAAGCTTTGCTGTGTCTCCCAGAACAGCCTCAAGAGTGTGGAGGAGATACTAGGAAATGGATACAAGGAGGAGAGCTGCATTACTGGTATCTTCTCCTTTGTATGAGGAGTAGCAGGAGGTGATAGATGATAGGAATTGACATCCTTTAGTGCAGCATGTGTTCACAGACTGACATCACGCAGCCGAACACTAGAACTGGCAGGTCGATCACTGGTGCCCCATTCATTTCACAGATGATGTTGGAAGCATTATAATATTCGCCACAGCATCTTCCGACTCTTTCACACCACCCATATCTGCTCAGTGTGAACCTATTGTCATCTTTTGAGAGAAAAGTCCTACCAGTTCTGCTGTTCTTTGGCAGATGCACAAAGGACAGGTTCTTCTAAAGAACATTTGGGACTAATGCTGCCCTCATGCAGTCTGATTCTGACAGTTTGGTCAGAAACATGCACATACGCGGCCCATTGGAGGTCATTCTGTAGGGCTCTGTCAGCGATCCTTCTGTTCCTCCTGGCACAAAGGAGCATATACCAGTCCTCCTGGTTGATGCACTTCTACGGCTCTGTCTATGTCCTCATGTAATGACTGATAGACTGTCATGGGAGATGCAAATAACTCTGTTGGCCAGTAGTGAAGAGGGCACCAACACAAAACAAAACTAGAGCAAAATCAATCAGGACGGATGAGGAGAGAGCAACAATCTGTGGCCACTACAAGTAAAACCCTCTTTCATTTGCACTAAATGTATTCACAATGATCTATCAGTCCTAACTGGACAGACTGATATGCCTGAGGTTTAACGGACTGTGTGCGATACTGTGACGATCAAGCAGTGCATTTTGCTATAATGATTAATATACATTTCTAATAGTTTCTGACAAACGTTCCTGTATTTTGTGTTCTGCTCCTAATATTCTCATATTCACTAATATTGAATTCACTAATATTGCTTTCCTTTTGTGCTGCAGCTGTTTTGCTTAAATCTCACTGATGATTTTAAAAGGGATTTAAATCTGGGGACATATTTCCTGAACCAGTGTTTTAACATTTAGAAGTGCTGGGGTCACCGCCTTCCCAGAAAAACTCATCATTAAGAAAGTACAGCTTTCTTCCAACGATCTAAGATGCTTTGCTCTGTAACAGAGTATCAAATCTCCACGTCTTATGGTCTTTTTGGCAGGCTTTGACCATGTGACCCATGACATACTGCTGATCCAATTGTCCTCATGGTTCCAATTCACTTTCATCACTTCAATAAAACAATTCTCTGAACTCTTATGTAAGCTCCAGTAGGTTTTTCCTAGGTTTTTTCCATTATGTGATTTGGTTCTTGCATATTCAAGTTGTCATCTATGTGTTTTTTGTGGATAAACTGAGACGAGCAAGGTTTCTGTTATTTCTGTTAGCGGGTTATTTTTTTCCTAGTTGTTATTTTTAAATGTGCGACTTTGCTAAACTTTGAAACTTGATTAACTAAGTATGTGACCATAAAAACAACTGGTGGCCCTTTTTTAAAAGATACAGTTAGTTCCATAATTAAAGACAACATTTTTGTAGTTTTACTTCTTCAGAGGATTTAAAATCAAACGGTTAAGATGTGACGGAAGTGCAGACTTTCAGCTTTAATTTAAGAGTTGCACAACAAATTTAGCATGAACTCTTCAGGAATTACAGCCATTTTTATACATAGTCTACTATTTTCAGAGGCTTAAAATAGTTCCATCAATTAACTGACAAGCAGTTTTATGGCTGATTTCCTGTTATTTCATGAAACGAAGCAGATGTAATATGTGAAGTTTCAAGGTCTTGAATTTATATCTTATAGCTTTTCATGGTGATTTTAAACATGAGGCCCAAAGAGATTTCAGAAAAAGTGGGAGAGGCTGAAAAAACAGAACGAACCCATCAGACAGCAAAAGCTTCAGGAGTGACTAAATAACAATCTGGTACAATCTTAAGAAAGAAAGAAGAAACAAATTGATCAGCTCACCAACACCAAAAGGCCCGTAGACTACAGAAAACAACTAAAGTGGATGATGACAGAATTATTTCCATGGCTGAAAACAGGAAAAAAAACCCCTCTTTGATCAGATCAAACCAAGATTAACTTGTACCAGAATGACAGGAAAATAAAAATATGGAAAAGGCGAGAAACAGTTCATGATCCAAAGCATGCCACATGATCTGTCAAACATGGTGAACACAATGTTATATTATGGGCATGATGTATGATGTGACTGCTGCTACACTCTCTGCTCAAATTCAGCCAAATGCTGCAAAACTGATCAGGCAGTAAAGTGCAAATGGATGATGACCAAAAGCAAACTGCAAAAGCATCCCAAGAGTATCTCAAGGCAACGCAATTGGACATAGAAAATAAATGTGAGGCTGAGAGGCGCAAACAAGCAACAACTGAAGGTGGCAGCAGTAACGGCTTAGCAGAGCATCTTAAGGGAGGAAACAGCATCGGATCCTCTGAAAATGGGAGACTATAAAAAATATCTGTAATTCCTCAACAGTTAATTCAAAGTTTTTGTTAAATAGCTGATTTAAAGCTGAATTTGCAATTCAATCACATCTTGAATGTCTCACTTAAAAATCCAGGGTGGTGGCGTGCAGTTTCAAAAATTTTTTTTTTAAAAAAACAGCCACTACACAGCCAATTATGGACCTATTTGGATGCTGTTATTGATTATGATTAATAATGATATTATTTAGAAAGTCTCAAGATAACATTAAACCCAAGCAGAGGTTATTTTTCTTTGGTCTTGTTTAGTTCCTGTCCTCCTGTTCTCAGGCTTCAAACAACCCAAACACCTTGGTGTGATGCCTGAGAGGCAAAATACTGGGGAAAAGGGCATCAAAGCACTTGCTCTTCCCTTCTTGTCTTTGACTGCTGCACAGTTTCTATAAGGCTATGAATTCCTCTGGTCTTTCATTTTTGACACCTGCACAGCATGAAAACAGCGTATGGAGATTCACAGTCAGAAAATTAAGCGGAATATGGAAAAGTGACCTGGTCCAACATACTGGAAGAGTTTCCGCTATCCTGTTGTATTCTCAGTATGATAACTCTTTCTGGAAATTAGTTTGAATAACTCTTGAAATAAAAACACTTTTGCTCAGGTATTACCATGTTTACCTCTGAGAGATTCATCTTTAATGGGAGACATTCTGAACCCATGTCGCTGAGGTAAAGCCAAAGTGAAACCAGCTTCTTTAAGGATGGCTCTGTTCCATCAGTTGCATCAGTGAAACACCACAGCAAACTAGCAACAACAGCAGGAGCCTGAAATGATCAGTGTGCTTTTTCCTGCCACAGTATGATGCCTGTAAAACAGGTCCTTACAGTCTTTGTATAATCACC